CAAAAATATTAACGCCAAACATTTGGTAGAATTTATAGAATATTGTAAATATATCTATATATATATATATATATATATATATATATATATATATATATATATATATAAACCAAAGCTGCACTAAAGATGATTCGTGAAAAAACGATTTAATGCCAATTAGTATGATGACTTTGGATCACAGTTTCAATAAACTTGCATTATGAACTTTGATAACAATTCTATTTTCAATAAATTGATCAATTACCAGAAAATTCCAGTAAGTAAAATTGAAAAAACAAGCTTTAAATTGATTAATGCCAACTATTCGGTTGAATTCATACAATACTGTAAACAATCAGTGGACAATCAATCTACGACGTTTCAGAGTTTGCAATCCAACTGCGTGTAATATAGATAAATACGGAATATGACTTAAGAAAACAATTGATTTAGTAAATCTTTTCCGGACAATTTTAATTTTTGTTGACATTTTTAATTTGGGTTCCTAATAGCATTTTAATTGAGGATGCAAGTAAGTGCAAAACGCTTTGGTAAGTAGGTTTTTAACTTTGATGATGAAGCATCTTGTGATCAGACGCACGTGTAAAGGAGCTTTATCAATGATTAATTGATGTGCTTATTAAAGTTAAGTTGTTTGTAGACTGCAACACGAAGATCTTTGAAATAGCATACGGGTGTAAATATGTTTTGACCAATCAAATACTGACGTAAAACAGTAGCCGATCTTGATGAAGGAAAAAATTAACAATGATAACACTTGTCGTGAGAAAAAAGTGACTGCTATTTAATACTCCAAGTAACTATGTCGTTGACAGCGATGGGAAACTAACTAAATATTTGTAGTTAAACTATAACTATTTTTTAACATAAAATTAGTTTTACTATTATTTGTAAACTTATTTTTGAAAATAGTTAACTAAACTAAAAAAAAGTAATTAAACTTTTCTAAACTATTTTGCAACGATTGCACTTTTTGAAAGGTAGTATTCTGAATCAGCATTAACACTCAAGCCATGTTATTTACAGTCATTATTTTAAAATAACTCAAAGAAATAAACTTAAATATAACGGAAAAGACAAAAATAAAAGTCTTTCTAATAGTAAAGTTTTTGAAAGTCAGTAGAACAAACTAGTTAAAAAATATTTTAGAAAAATCTAACATATGCATTTACTGAAATGAGGTTTAAAAATTAAAAAACAATTTAATTCAGTAGTATACTGACTTAATAAAATTTTATAGTCTTATATTTTTAGTTTAACTTTAAACAGTATAACGCCTCATTTAAAAAAAACTTTAGAAAAGCAAGTATGTTCATTTAATTCTAGACTGAAGAAACGCTAGCTTATCCGGAGTTTCATCTGACATCCGACAGCGGCGCGCACTGAAAACCTGTGAAGCAACAATAAATAGTCTTTCAACAGCAGCTGAACTTGTTAGTGTGGCGTTACTTTAACGAAATGCCTCCGCAACTACCGGATGTGCCAACAGGTTGTTGACATTATCAGACTTAGAAGCCAGGTACCCAGAGATCTGTATCGAAAATTAAAATCTGTCGCTTAAAATACTAGCATACATAAGTTAAGATGTTATAAGTTCTCTTTTATACAAAAATAATATACAAGAAATCTACAATTAAAATGATAATGAATTATTTAATTATTACTACCTCATCAGATATTTCCACTGGTGTACTAGACTGGTCAGTTGTCTTGATACCCATGTAGGCTCTTTTGTTTTATTATATTTAGAAGCAATTATACAGTAAATAATGTAAACAGCACATGTAGCCAAAAAAATTAATTATTTATTATTTTGAGAGTTTGTAATTCTATTTGCATCAAAAACTTTTCTTACATTAGTTGTTAACAACCAATTCCACATGACCAAAAATAAACATTGAATCCATCAAATAATTTTGTAAAGCAAGTTACATTGTTAACACAACACAACACTTTTACAATTGGCACAGTTAGCAATCTTGATAACTTCTTTGGTTTTTCCAGATTTCCAGATTAATATGAAGCCAAAGTTATTACTAGACTATCTTACTTTGGTCATGTAATGAAGGCACTCAGTTTTTTCTAAAAGATGACGATGACGGAAAAAAATAGGTGGAAAAAGCAGAAGAGAAAAACTAAGAGGTTGGATTCAATCATCAATGACATTAACCTGGGTCTGAAGAAGATGATTAATGTAACATGCGACAGAAAGAGGTGGAGGTGGATTGTCCATTGGATTATGGAGAGTCGGACTCTCGTGGTGACGTTCAGCTGTCGTTTGACGTTCAGCTGTCGTTTATGAAAATTAGGTATAGAATGGATCCCAGACGCTACCCTGAAAAACACCACTAGTCATTGATACAGAAGTTGATAACATATTATGATTTCGAACAAGCTAAGAACGTTCAGATAAGAATTCGGTCAACCAAGAAAACAGACTTTCAGATTTTTACAAATTTACCAACAAGCTTAGTGTGCGATACGGAGTCGAAGGCATGTTACAAAATTAAAGTAAATAGCGTCGCAACATTCTTTTTTGTTAAGAAATAACATCCAATCACTAAAAAATTGTAGAAGGTTAGTGTAGGTGGCTCGAGCAGACAAAAAGCCATGATGGAAATGTAAAATAAATTTGCTGTAAAACAAATAGGATGGCATTTTTTGTTGGTTTTTTCCATTGTACGGCAACATGAACATATAAGTGAAACAGATCAAGTGTCAAAAGCCGAGCTAAGATCAAGCAATGCCAAAAAACGACCTTTTTCTTGTTAATATTAGTAACAATGTCAATAAACGCTTTCAGAAAAAACGTCTTCGTTGACTGAGCGGAAGCAGATAATAGCGTGCAAAGTAAACAAGAAGCTGACCTAAAACCAGACGCTGAAAATATAGAACAAAAATTGCAAGAGGGAGATAGAACGGCAATAAGTCCAAACCCAAACGACTTGTTCCAAAGGATACGTTTATCTATGAACTAAAAAACGGCAAAAAAGGCTAAAGAAATTGTACAAAAACAACAGAGAAACCACATCTAATGGTTACCTTTGTGAATACCGCAAAAACTTTAAATCCAACTTAGCAATCGTCGACGACTATGCATACTGAGATGCCTGCCTAACAGCCTTTATTTTATTTACAAAGGAACTGAGATCCTACGATTATTTTTGATAATTAACTAGTTGTTAATATCCGAGTAGCATTGGATTCCCGCGATGCTCCGAAGTATAATGAAATCAGAAGCCAGAACTTTGCCGTAATTTTGTTCTAGTACAAACCTTCCAAAGGATTTCTCTAAGCCATCTAATCGATTTTAGAAAAAAAAGTTTTTTTTTGTTCCATTTATAACTTTGTTATTTTTTGGGCTAGTTAACAAGCATTATAAAAACGTGGCGCATTTTGGGCCTCCTTTTATAGAACAGTCTGAGGGAACAATGTGTTCTGCAATATTTTGGACCTCGCCGTTGTTCAAGTCGTAAAACTGATCAAAGAGCATAAGAAGATATACCACCATATATAGCCGTTAAGAAGCATTTAAACAGCTGTTCAAAAGAGTCAGAGCTATGTTATAAATTTAAAATGTTAACCCAAACTCTACCATTATAAATAAGAGCCAAACCACCATCTCTAAGGACAACACTGTAATAATTTTTTGTTGGATTTCCAAAAAAGAAAACAAAGAAGGTACACACAAGGTGAGTGTCAGCTCATCATTAAATTGATGCTACGTTTCTGTCAACGCCCAACGCGATAACATCAATGTATTCAGTTGTGATCACCTAAGAAATATTTAATGTATTTTCATTGATAGATGTGATATTTTATAGAACTACCTTGATACTTTGTTTAACCGTACCATCAACAGAATTGATCACACGTAGATGACGAGGTTTTCTAAGGTTGATGCCTGAAAAGTATACCTCAAAGATATTTAGTGTTGTTAAAATTCTCAGACCTACAACCAAGCAGAAACTCCTTAAAGTACTTTATCACCATCTTTAAATCACAGTAGAATTACCATAAAAAATCGATAACGCCAGCTTCAAGCCAAAAGATATCAACTTAGAGATGCGAGTAGAGGAGGTTATGAGTGGTAAGAAATTATATGATGATAGTAGGTTAGAGAAGTCAGCAATAGCATTGCCACTGTTGAGTTTATTGAGGTCGAGGTTGAAGTCGCCAATTAAATAGCATTTTATGTGTAGTTTGAGTGTGTGTAAACTAAGTTTGAGCTTTTGGAAATAAAATAAGTGTTGGGAGTTTTATAGACTGCTAAGATAATTAAGTGTGTTGTTTAATTTTAAATTGACACCCAAGAGAACAAAAATGGCATCATTCAGAAATGAGTTGTTTAACATAGAAAATTCAATGCCTGATCTGATGAAAATCCCGATTCCACCTCTTATTCTATCGGACTTATTTTTAAAAACAAAATTATAATTATTCTTACATACTAGTTTGGCAGTATCATCATTCAGCCATGTTTTTGATATAATAATAATAATGGGGAAAAAATAAGATAAAAGTTTGTTTAAAATTATGTCAGAGATTTTGTTTAATAGACTTTCGCTGTTTCTGTGAAGTAGAGGTAGAGAGTGGCCATGATTTTTGATGTACTTTTAGAATGTTGATTAGATGACTTTTGGTGTAGTAGTATGACAGACTGGTGAATGAATCTAAAAGGTTTTTTGTGGGATCGATGGGGGTATTGTATGCGTTGAAGTGTTGATCGTTACCGTTGTTCATGATGTAGTTTGATGTTCGAGGATGCTGCTGAGTAGATTTGTTTGTAGAATTTGGTGTTGTTGAAGGAGATTGGGTGTAATTGAAGACTTCTTTAGTTTTTAGTAGTAATGCTCCTATTATAATGAGGTATTGTTGTGTTTGACCAGAGTATGACGACAGTTTGAGATGTTGTTTTTTCAAATTTTTATCATTTTATTTATTTTTTTTTATGTTGTTTCCTTGTATAAGCTAAAGTTTTGAATATGATTATTTTAAAGTTGACGAAACACTTATGAACACTACTTTGGAGGTTGTTGTTTATCAAGGACAATTGGATATCATTTGTGACACAAAAGGTAATTTTGATTTAATTGAGTTTTTTTTTAAATGAATTAATTAACTTTTTAAAGTTAATTAGAATAGTTGATTTATGTAATTTGTTTCTTCCTCAACGTTGTGAAAAATAAAAAAAAAATATTTTATTATTTTTTAATGCCGTAGTTAAATGTTAACAAAAAAGCATGCGCATTGAGGTAATGCTTCCCCATTTCTCCATCTCTTTTTTTTTACATTGACCAGTTATTTTTTCATCTGACTCAAAAAGAAGTGACGTAGATTTTGGCATAGAAGGTCCTAAAACCGTTTTGATGCTATTATATAGAGCCCAGCTGTTGACTAGGTTCAAACGTTGTTGCATTTGGTCAAAGTTATATTTTTCAGAAATTATTAGCTTATTTCATAACAACTTTTGTATTCATTTAACATTTTTTCATTACCAAAAATCTACCAATTTCCAGCCTTTAAAGTCATGTGCGCTGCCCTCTTTTTTCTATATGAGGCCTTAATTGTTGTTTAAATGTATCAATCCTTTTATAGAATTTTTAAATTTTTTTAAAAGTTTATATCTAAATGAATCATTTATATTGTGGACGTGTATTTGCTTAGCTCCTCGATGTGTTGACATGCATTCTTTCTTAAAATGCTGCTTTACCTTTATCTAACACCAAAGAGTGATTTGAACTGTAGTAGCCACTGTGGAAAAAATGTGTAAAAGACACATCTATTGTTTATTCTACGAGTGAGACATAAATTTATTTGGTGCCAGTGTTTTGATCAAAAATATTAACATGCGACATTTTTCCTCTCCCTGCCAGAAAAATAAGTATTTGTCACGTAAAGCTTATGAACGTTGAAGAACACCAAAAATTTCTGATCAAACCATGCACGACGGAGGAATCTCATGGAACAGCTTCAAAACAGTTTAAAGTGGCATCAACAAGTAAAGACTGAGATAAAAATAAAGCAAGCAGCAGAACTTGTTTTAGAACTGTTTCATCTTTGCAGTACAATCGACGCGCTAAACTTACAATATGACAATGACAGCATGAAACATCAGAGTGCTTAGATCTGGAGAAACTACTCAGGAACTCGCACAAGACATCCAAAAGCTGACACTTTTATCATATTTGATGGGAGACTCAGAACTCAGGAACATAACTCTATTCGAAGCTTTCAAGAAATCTCTCCGAGACTCAGAACTTTGACACAAAAGCTAAATTTTAAAATTGTTGTCTCATACACGTTGATATTTAAGTTGAAAAAGGCATCAAAAACAAAAATTAAAACGCGGCAAATGCAAGAAGAGTGTATGTGTCAGGAGGTAATCCCAGAAGCACAAGAAAATAATGTTTTAAAATGTTGGAACTGTGAAAAAGAGACAAATTAAACGGAATTACAAACAGCCTCAAAGAAGTAGTTATGTCAATACTGTAAAACAAAAAAAGAAATATCTCTACATCAAGATCAACATTCTCAAACAAGGAGTTTGAAAACAAGTAATTAAACTTCACGAAGGCTGGTGAAGACAACACCTTCAGTAAAATGCATCAAAACCAAAACGTCCTCTGGCAATAAGAAAGAAAGCTTGCGCAAGTGCATAATTGCTATCAATAAAAAATCAATTATAAGATCTAACCTAGTGGTGGGTGTCATACACGAATGAATCATAAGCGTTGACAAAGTATGGTTTGAAGATTGACTTAGAAAAAATGTGTTAGGAGATGGAGGTGATAATTGGAAAAAGCAGAAAAAAGTGTTGCGAATGATAATTAATGGTAATAGAGTGATTCCAAAATCATCGGTTAACATTATGTTTTCATTCAATGATCCTCTGTAGTCCCTTAAGGGACCTTTGAGGCCGATGGTATTCTTCTATCTCTCCAAAATCCTTTTCTTTCCCTCGCCATCTTCATTGAGCCCAATGTTCCAACCCCCGTCCATTCCGTGATATCATCCATCCACTTCCTCACAGGTCTTCCAACTTTTTTCTTCCAGTCCCTCTTTCTCATCAGTACTTTTTTGATCAGTCTGTCGTCTGTCATTCTGCAGATGTGCCCAAAGATACCCAGCTTTCTTTCCTTGACCCTTTCATACACAGTTTTTTGTCTTCCAAGTTGTTTTCTTATGGCATCGTTTCTTATCTTTTGTCTCCAACTGATTCCCAGCAACTTTCTATAACAATGCATCTCGAATGCTTCCAGTTTGTCTTTGTCTCTTTTCTTCAACGTCCAAGCCTCACATGCATACATCAATGTAGAAAACACACACGCTTCTACGATCTTTAACTTTGTTTTTGTAGATACATTACCGTTTTTCAATATTACTTTCAAAGATGCAAACATTCCTCTCGCGATTGCTATTCTTCTATCAATTTCTTTTGAACAATTATTGTCATCAGTTATGAGGCTGCCCAGATATATAAATTGGTTCACTTGTTCGAGCTTTTCTGCTCCTATCTGGAATTCATCATTGTTTTCACCTGCTTCCGAAATCATTATCTTTGTCTTACTGCTGTTGATGTGTAGTCCATGGTTTCTTCCACCATCGTACGTCAACTCGATCAGTTTCTGTAGACCCTCTGCACTAGGTGCTAGCAGATCTATATCATCTGCAAACCTGAGGTCCCTTATCACTCTGCCTCCAATGTCGATTCCCTCAATATCTGCATTTTCCATTTTTTCCAAGGCTCTTTCCAACAGTGCTAAGAACAATAATGGTGATATTGGATCTCCTTGTCTACTTCCTATGTTCGCTTTGATCCAGTCTCCCAGCTCTGTACCAACCTTTACCCCCATTGTTGACTCCTCATAAAGCCCTTTCAGCACCCTTACCATTTTTATTGACAATCCCCTACTTTCAAAAGTTGCCCACAAACCTTCGTGCCAGACTGAATCAAACGCCTTCTTAAAATCCACAAAACAATGAAAAGTTGTTTGACCTCTGCTTCCTGCATTTTCCAACAATAGTCTCAACATCAGGATTTGCTGGACTGTACTTCTGTCTTTTCTGAAACCTGCCTGCTCCTCTCCTAAATGCTGCTCTATGTCTTTCTCCAATCGTTCTTTCAAGATCGTCAGCATGATCTTGCACATATGAGAGATCAGTGCTATTGATCTGTAGTTGTTGCAGTCTTTCAGGTCTCCTTTTTTTGGCAACATGATCAAGATTGATTTACACCAATCTTCTGGCCATTTTCCACTGTCCCAGATTTCTTGGCAGATTTTGTGAATCTCATTACATACAATTGGTCCTCCCGCTTTGATCCGCTCTATGGGAATTCCGTCTCTCCCTGTGCTCTTGTTGTTCCTCATTTTCTTCATTGCTTTCATTACTTCCTCCAATGTTATTTCCGTTTCTTCCTCATTGACTACTTTTCTTTCTTTTAAAGCCTGTAACACCTCTTTTGTATACGTGTTTTTATCTGTGAACAGGTCTTTGATATATTCCGACCATCTATCTTTGATTTGTTGGTCTTCAGTTAGAACATTTCCATCCTTGTCTTTAATAATCCTTGACGTATTCTTCAGTTTTCCTTTTAACTGTCTGACTAGCTGATACGCCTCTCTTGTTTTGTTTTATCCAACTAGTGCTTCTACCTTTTCGCATCTATCGTTTATCCATCTTCTTTTATCTGCTCTGGCACTTTTCTTTATTTTGCAACACAGTTGTTTATATTTCCTCTCATTTTCGTTGTTTTGTCTTTTTGTTGCTTTCAACTGTCTTCTTTCCTCTACGAGTTTCCAAGTTTCATCACTTATCCAGGGTTTTATTATGTTTTTCCCCACTTCGCATTTTTCGGCTGCAGTCTTAAGCACTTTCTCCAAGTTACTGACTCTTGTTTTCATATCGTACTTTGTTTTTGTATCCAATTTGTTTTCTATTACATTTCTGATGTCTTTCAACTTCTCTTTTATCATTTCTGTGCTATATTTCACTCTTTTGATATTTTCGCCTGACTTTGGTCTTTTCGTTATTTTCATCTTTGACGTGCATAACACTAGACGATGATCTGATCCAATCTCTGCACTTGGAAGACGGCACTGAGTAACAAATTTCATCCATTTCTGTTCTATCAAAATCAAATCTATCATGTTCGTTGTTTTTCCATCTGGTGATTCCCATGTCCATTTTTTTCTATTTTGTGTTTTTGTATTTGTTATATACATTTTTTGGTCCTTTGCAAATTCCAGCAGTCTTTCTCCTCTATTATTTCTGTTTCCTATACCGTATTTTCCCATGACTTCTTCAAAACCAATATTGTCTCTTCCGATCTTTGCGTTCCAATCTCCGGTGATTATCTTAACATCTTTCTTTGGCAGTACATTCAATGTTTGCTCCAGTTGATCGTAGAATGCCTCGATTTCTGCATCCGAGTGATCCATTGTTGGAGCATATGCCACTACCACATCAATGTCTCTCGGGTATCCCTTAAACCTCGCATACATCATTCTTTCATTCACTGGATTGTACTCCAACAGTGCTTTTCTTGCTTTTTCGCCAATAACCATTCCAACTCCATAGACGTGCTCCCTCTCTGTTCCAGACCATAATATCTTCCCACCTTCCATTTCTCCACCTCCTGTCCATCGGACCTCGCACAGACCAACCACATCATATCTGAATCGTTCAAGTTCTTTCTTCATCAACGCGTAAGCCCCTGTCTGCCACAATGACCTGACATTCCAAACTCCAACTGTCAACCCCATCTTCAGTCTATCTTTCTGGGACTCAGTAGCATACTTTACACTGCAGCCTCTAGTCCCCAAAGCTGCAGCGCGGACCTTGTTCACCCGGGCGACGTCCGAGCCGGTATGTACATACTTTTTTTGGGCTACCATCGTGTTATTAGCGTTTTTACGACAGTGTAGCAAGCTCCTGTCAACCATTCCTTTCTATCCGGACTTTGGACCGGCACCTGATATTACTGGACCGCAACTCAGGTGGTGGAGTGTGGTTTTCTGTCTGGATTTGCTCCCATAGCCTTTCCCATGAACAGGTATGCCGCAAGGCAGCGGAGGTTTGAAGTCAGAGTTTTCCTTCTCCTAGGTAAATAGCCGACCAAGGCTAACGAGCTTCACCTGCCCGAAGCAACTGGTTATGGTGCCAGTTATTCGCCTTCGCCCCTTCTCCTGTTAGTTTAAACAGTTCTGCCGCGTGAAGGCCAGGAGTTGGGCTTGGTTGTCAGAGGCTCTTTGAGACGCTTGCCATATGGGAGCATTTTATAGATGATGGAAGCTTATCCCCATCACCACCCCCGGCATTAACAACCATTCAGAACCTAACATTATGTGGTCTAGATTAAACTGCGATCAAGGAGACCGTCTGGTTGGTTTGGTTAAACCAACAGCAATCGACACTGCAAATATGCCCGTCAGACAATGCCTTGTGGAAACATACGAGAACGGCTGTATTTCAATCGGTATATTAAACACGGCAATCAAATAAAAATAAATTACGGTCAAATAGTAAGAAGTTTTAAACTCATAAACACTATCAAAACACTTGACATGGAACAGAAAAGTAACTGAATATTAAAACCTTCAAAAATTTACTAAAAGCTGGTTAAATGGATGAAAACTATTTGAAAGCGGAAGTTTTTTGGCTGATTTTGTTGATGTTTTTTCAAAAGGAGACGATTAAGGAAAACAAGTTTTTTTTTATTATTTGAACGTTTGTTAATCATCTAGATATCAACTTTTAGCCATGTGGTATTCTCCAAAAAATGGCTCAAATAAAATTTGAGTAGTTAGAAATTGGTTGGTCTCCAAAGACAAACATGAGACGCAGTGTTTTCTCGGCTTGGGTTTTTAGAGGCAATCTTTCTGTTTCAAGTCAAGGGTTTTGATGGTGTTTAGAGATTTACATCTTTATATTATTTGGTCGTTCTTTATTTTTATTGTATTGTTTACCGTGCTTAATATAGACTGGAATACAGTAACCTACAAAATAAAAATATTTTCAAACAATTACAAAGTATCGTTTAAAAATTTGTTTACGATATATTTAAACAAATTCATGATTTTGTAAATGGTGAACTTAATAAACATTTGTTTGTCTAGCTGCAATGGACTGGGTTCAACAATTTAAGTGGTCGGGGTTAAGCTTGTATAACAAATCCGAAAGAAAAGCATTTGTTGAACCATTAACCGGTCAAACTGAATTTTTTGTGAAAGCATACGAAAAATTCAAATTTTATTGGATTCTAAGAGGAGGACATTCGGTATGTTTGTTTTCATATTTCCTAATTACAAAAATGAAAAAATTGAATTAAAAACTGTTCTAACCTGATGTTGAAAATGTTGTCATAGGCACCAGCTGATGCAGCAGAAGCATCTTATCGAATGTTACAAAGAATATTATTTAACAAAGACAAATGATAATCGATTATTCTTAATATTATCGGACTATTTAATTAGTTAAAATACTTTAATATGAATATTTTATTGAAATAACTCTAAACTTCGTTAGATTTTAATAACTATTCAAATAAAAATATTTTTCTCGCAACATTCTTGTGGTTCAGTTGTCAATTTTTAAACACGATCGTAACGAAGGGAGACATAATTAATTTAAAATTTTGCGTTAAATTAAACTTTAATTTTATATCTTGTTTTATTAACACTCTTGAAAAATAATTTCATATGTTTTGAAACACGTTTGACATGGTTTTTGCTTTGATAACTAAACGTTTTCACTGTAAAGTATTTATACAAAAAATTTGCATCAAATGCCAAGCGGTTGCAATTTTTAGCATAAACAACTCGCTAAAAATTTGCTAAAATTAGTTTGCTGAGAACTGCATGTCTAATCATAAAAAATTTTTATTACAACCGTTTTACAACCCTTTTACTTATTGATAATTTTAAAATATACTTTTCTATTGTTCATGTAGTCATTAAACATCAATTTCAGACCGTATAAGATTGTTGCAGAGGATATGTTAAGCGGGCTACGACGAAAAATCCAAACCTTCCTAACTCTAATCCAGCTCTAATACTAACCACTTTTTTTCAACACCTTCCCGATAATAAAGCCAACTCATTTAACTTGCGGACTAACATTAGCATCGACACTTGGAGTGTTCGCTTGATGTGTGCAACGGGTAATGCAAAGAACCTTGCGGATGAACTGTCGCGCTATAATTTTAAAGTTTGTACAATAATGTTCAAGTGTATGAATACACGTATTATTGGCTGGCAGTGGGTTTGGTGGTAAAATGTAGAGAAATTGCGCGTTGATGACTACAGTCTTTTCTGATTTGGCCTGGCTGAGAACCAACCTAGATCTGCCTTGAGCGATCGAGCAAACCGTGCGCTAATCGAATAGCATCCGGTCAGTGACAGACTTATGGTGGCTTGTTATGGCCATTAATGCGGTTTTTTTGGCGATTGTCTGTTACGGACCAACAAAAAAAGCAACAGATGAAGATAAAAAAAATCAAGGTTGTGCTAGAAGATTCACTTTGCTTTACTAAATGGTCGGAACGCAAGCCAAAGGAAGATGATGCTTTTAACTGACATTTGTTTTTCAAATGCTCTGGTGCCAAATTATTCATACACTTGAACAATTGTGCAAACATTTAAAAATTATTCGCTGGTCGGCACTCAACCATTGAAGCTGAGCAAGAATCTGAGATACATGATCAAATTTATATGCTCTGTGAACAATTTTTGCCGCACGATTTTTAATAAAATGTAACATTCCAACAGATTCATAGGGTAAACCCAGGGCCGGAACTAGTGTATTTGCCAGGGGAGGGGGAACTCAGTGTGCCGCCCCCTACCACGTTATCATTATGCTACTACCGTAAGCTGTTGTTTAAATGCGGTTTTTTAAATTACATACATGCTTCTTATTAAAATGTTTTATTTTAATATCAATATACATGTTATCACATAGAAAAAAAAACAACAATTGTAGTTATACAACATTAAAAAGTGAAAAACTTTGTGTATATTGCAGCGTCCACGTATCAAATAATTGTTTTGAATATTACATTAAAAACAAATTCTTCTAGTTTTTTAGCTGCAAAAGTGTTGATTACATCATCAAAATTGACAAGGGATGCTCGTTTGTGTTCGATTGAAATTATGCTTAGATTGGAAGTCTCTCCTGTCCCATTGTACTTTTCATGTAGTTCTGGATGATTTCGAGTTTGCTAAAACTTCGTTCTCCAGATGACACTGTGACAGGCAATGTGAGAAACATTCTCAATGCAATAATGATGTTAGGGTAACCTTCTTCTAATTTATTTTTATAAATGAGGGTTAACATTTCTTTTGATGTGGCTTTTTTCAAAGTTTTGTCAACTGTCAAAGCGTGATGCTTAAAAATTTCTATTTCAAAGTTGAATTCTTCAATGTTGAAATCACCTGAGTATATATTTGCCAATTCTTCTGCTTTAATTTTTAGATCTGCTTTTTGCATTTTTTCAATTTTAACACCACTCAAAAATCTAAACATGCTATTTACATTATTCAAAGCTTCAAATCTGTCACTAAATTCTGTAATCATCCGGTCAATGATTTCTGTCACTTGGTACAGTTTTTCAACACTTGCAAGAGCTTCACTGTTACACAACTCATCAGGCATTTTTTTTTCTTTCTTGGTCCTTTTTCTGAAAATTCAGATGTTAGATTATTCATTTTTGCTAACAGTTTACCATCAGCAATGGCCTCAGATGGTGCAAACTCTCTGCAAGACTTCATGAATGTTGAAAGACCTTTGAGGTTTCGGGTAGCCTTTACTATAATGTTTATATACAACTTCGACCGCATCTAATCTTGCAGACCATCTTGTTTTGCTTTCAGGCTTCAATGTTATCGGCATATTTTTTTTAAGAACTTTCCAGCGAGAAGTTGAAACAGCAAAAAAAGAATACAAACTGTTCAAAATTCCAAAAAAGTTTTTAGCCTTAATAATAGCACTGGCTGCATTAGCACCAACCAAATTGAGACAGTGTGCAGCACATGGAACAAAATATGCCAGTTTGTTTTTCTGCAATAATCAGGACTATACTCCTTTATATTTTCCCGCCATATTTGCCCCGTTGTCAGAGGATTGACCCCTACAATTCTTCAAGTTAAGTCCATCTATGTCTATTTTTTTTAAATTTCTTGACTGAGACCTTCAACTGTTTTGTCACTAACTGGGAAAAAATCAATAAAACTTTCTTCTATTTCCGTTGTATCTTTTTTCACGTAACGTACTACCTGAGTTATTTTTCACTGTGACTGATATCTGGAGTGCAGTCAAATATTAAGGAAAAATATTTTTCATCCAAAATGTCTTTTATTATTCTTTGCTTTATATTATTAGCAATAATTTTTATAAACTCATCTTGTAATTTATGTGAAAAATATGATATTTGTTCTTTCTTATGCCGCTCAATGTGTTGTTGAAGAGGGACATTATAACGAGAAATAAGTTCAACTGTGTTCAAGAACTTTCCACTAGATGAGTCACTGAAATCACAGTTTTCTTTAGTTTCTCGAACTTTCCACTAGATGGATCACTAAAATCACAGTTTTCTTTAGTTCCTCGAAATGGGCTCCTTTTTTACCAAGAATGGAACAGCATCTACAACACAGCGCAATACCGCTTTCCATTACATCTGTTTTTGATGAATCTAATTTTGGAGTTTTAGGGATTAAACATTTATTTATTAACTATCTCATATATTGATTGTTATTAAAGATTATTGCAATTTTAAATGTTACATAATCTATGTTAATTTTTATGTCTTTGCTTCTCTCTCGACTTCTCCCCTTTTTTCCTGATAGCTTGTAAAACGAAACGGTTCTAGATTCACGTGGGAATAAAGATAATATTTTATTACGCCTGAATTGTGTTTGTTTTATTTATTTTAACTCACAACAAGATTCTAAAGTGATCTTTTTATTTTTTGTCCATTTTTGAAAACTATAAAACCTATCTTTGGTTAAATTGCGTCCTTTTCTGCTACTATTAATTAAATTTGGTTCAGTCAAATTTTCAAATCTCATTTTTGTTATGAAACACCTTTTTAAATCAGAAAAATTTTGTGGCCATGAACCAAGATCACTGAAATTAAAAGGAAACTTGGATGTCTTCTTGTGGGGTCTGATTGAGATAGCAATTCTTCTACAGTTTTATTTGTAAGATTGAGGTTGAACCAAAAAACATTTTCCTCGCTCTCTTCTTTAGCTGCCATTTATCTAAAATATTAAAAACAAGAATTATAAACAAAATAAACATTATATAAGTTATTTTTTAATTAAGAATTATTAATAAAAATTTATAACGTTTTAAATATAACTTACTTAGGTTAAAAGTTAGGTTTGGTTGAGATAATATTTCTTCAACAGCTTCATTTTCTTTAGTGGAAGGATTGAGGTTCAAACCAAAAGCATGTTCTGTGCTCTCATTTTTATTAGCTTTCATTTCACCTACAATATTAAAATTATGGATTATACTTTCAAAGTTAAATTTTAAAATATTATTTTAAATTAAATTTTAAAATATTATATCCAAAGTTTCAAAAATTCTTAAATTTAACTTTTTATATTTTATTTTATTTATTCATCTTTTATGCATTGAATTTAAAATTTATTACCAAATACCAAATTATAAAATTTAAAAACAATTATTTTAGTAAGATGGAAGCATAATTAATTCACATTGTCCACAATGTTACATTTTTCAATTAATATTAAATTAATTAAACAATAAAATTGTCTATCTTATTTTTCTTCTGAGCCTTTTTTATCAGAAACATTAGATTTGCTAAATAACGTTTTTAATTTTGGCGTTAGTGACGCGTATCTCTTTCTTTTCTTCGTTTTTCTTTAGCAAATTTTCTGTATTCGGCTCCACTAAATCTTTTTTTGCCATCAATATTATTTTTAAACACGAAAACGAATAAAAATAAACTAATAAAATATTTTCGCGGCGTGAATTTATTCAAAATGGCGTGTCTGCAAAACTCAAATAAACAAAAAATTACAAATAAGATAAAGATTCCGTTTTAAATATTATTAGTATTATAATGTTTATATATATATATATATATATATATAACCATACAAATAGAATATAAATAAATACAAAAAAAATCAAATTTACTTTGATCCGAATTTTGACAAAAATGAATAACTTTTAAAAATTTTTTTAAACTTTTCAAAATCTCTTAAATTTGCCGCCCGGAGCGCTTACCCCCTTTGCCCCCCCCCTAGTTCCGGGCCTGGAATAGTCCAACATCAATTTTTCAATCGTACTTTTGCTCAAAAATTTTCTTATCGAACGTATTTTATGTGCATAGTTGGGCAGCACACAATTTAGTTAATAGTTTGACGTGATCAACGTACGTCAACGAGCCTTACTAGATTAGAAACATTACTGCAAAACTCAATGTCATGGCCATCTATGCGAACCGAATCAATTTTGACACGCGGCAACTGCGGCTACGGGCCAACTTTTTCCAGTTTAGGTTTACGTAAGTTGAGTTTTAGTCGATTCGATACCGTCCACACACCCACCTCAGTAAAACAATGCACTAATCTATTTATTGCATCCTGAAATTTATCGGCTGGACAGCTAACAATCATCTGTATATTACATGGATATATATAATGGATATGGCAAGTCTCATATGTATATATATATATATTCATACATCGGTTAAAATAAATTTTTGCAAAAAATCTTGATCCATAGAACCAAAAACGTCAATGAAAAATTAATTTAAAAAAACATTTAGCTTTTTATCTATGTTAGAATATCGTCTAGTTTTCGATTATTGTCATATCTTCCGTAGTTGAGTTATTACCAAATAAGAATTTCGCTTTAAAAAACTAGCAATATAAGCTGGTAATGTTTGATTGCTAACGTCACTGGTGTGTTTCAGTTGCGTTGGGCTTTTTTGATACTAATTTCCAAAATTACAAATCTCTCACTCTGCTCTGCAATGGATATTCTGATAATCAATCACAGTCAATCATAAATATTAATTTGTCTTTACTTTTTATTTTATTATTGTTATGAACGTGATATGTAAATTCATAAGAATGTATACCAAATGCATGACTGCTCATAATTACTGTAATAACAATAGCTGACAATCATATATTTGAGTACCTTTTTTTGAATATATAATCTGAAGCTGAACCAAATTTCATAAGCTTTCATGTTGTCTCTTGAATTTGCATTGTATATATAAAAAAATGAAAAAATGTCTGCTTTCAATTTTAATAATTTCTAGTTATTGATAAAAACCAGAGTAAAATAATGACTAATCTGAATGCCACGAATATGAAATGGACTGTTTTTAGCAAGCTATGTTAATTCTACATTTAATCAGTGATAACATAAATAATATTTAAATAAATTTTTTAAATGTATTTTCAATAATTTACTTTTAGCGATTAAAATAAGGATAGTTTTATATTTAAGTGCAAATCATTTACGTTAAGTCAATGGCAACTAATTTGACAACAAAGAGACAATTGTTTAAAAATATTTTATTAAAAATTGTAAATGAAATGAAATATTTTTTTTCCATAGAAACTTCCAATTGATATAGCATTATCTAGAGTTTATCTCAAAAAAAAGTTATAGTTTGTATGCAAAAATGAATTAGATAAAAAAATGAATTATTAAAACTGACAAATAATGTAAGGAAAGGGTTAAAACTGTTAAGTTTACATTTTGAAATGAAAAAAGTTGATATAATGATGCAAGCCATATAAAATTTTTTTTAGGTAACTATTTGTATTTGAGAGTTGCAGAAAGTTTAATAAATTTTATTTGTTACGTATATTATGTTATAACCTGTCAAACATACAAACCAATTTAACAGCAGATGTTGATAGTTTTTCAACTGGCCGCGATGATGTTGAGGGTAAATGAAATGTTAAATTATTAAAGTTTTATTAACACTGGACGTTTTTGAATATAAGTTATTATTTGCAATCAATCAATCAATCTTCGTTTTGTGTCCAGAGACCCGGTTTCCCGAGGTAGGACGTTGTTTCTTTGCCATCAACTTTTTGCGCCAAATCAGACGATCAGTTGTATCCATTTCATTTAAATTTAGAGCTTTCATGTCTTGCTCGATTGTTTGCGACCGGGACTTCTTTGGACGGCCTTTGGGACGTGTGCCAGGTACTTCAACATCTGCAAGAGAAGTTATGGCACTGTTTCCACTTCGTTTGACATGACCAAACCACTGCAGACGGTGTTGCCGGCATTCGTCCTTTATATCATCTAAACCAGCACGACGCAGGATTTCGGTAGATTTGATGTGGTCCTTCAGACTAATTCGTTGCATCCATCGGAACATTTTCATGTCGGTTCGTTGAAGTTGTTGTTCCAGTTTGGTTGTCATTGGCCATGTTTCTGCACCATATAACAACACCGGACGTATCACAGATTTATAAAGTCTTGACAGGCCCGGTTCCAGACATTTGGCGGCCCTAGGCAGAGCTACATCTATGGTGTTGGCTACTCTACCGATATATGATATATCAATGTCAGTGACTTGGAGGAAAAACTTATTTTTGTTTTTTTTCTAGTTTTTTTGTATATACGTATTGATATTACATAATATATAATAT